ATACAATAAAGAAACCAGTCAAAATCGTCATTTTTCACGATGTACGCGGTTTTGAGTGGACTCGAGTATCAAGTTAAATGATTGTTGAACAGTCATCTTATTATTGGCTACAATTATGGGAAGATTGAATTGGATTGCTTGAACATTGAGGGAGATTTTGTTAAAGATTTGTGTTTAAATATTTTTGGTTTTTTGCGGTTTTTCGCTAAGCGTAGAAATAAAAATAGACTCGTCATGACGTAAGTAAACTACATACCGAGTTAGAACGAAATAGGAGGGAAAGTTTGAATTTATCGATTGTTCATCGACATATCGATTATTGAATTGTTAAACGCTAACAACCTATATCTTACATTGTACAATGTATGTCAAGTCTGGTCAAAATCGGTTGAAAATATATCACACAGACACACATTCTCTGTTATATATATATATATATATATATATATATATATATATATATATATATATATATATATATATAATAAACAGGTCTAGATGCACAGAATGCACTGGACGTCCGTTTCGTCCTATTTGTTACTTTATCGGGAAAACGTCATACCAACTGGACGAATGTCATACCAGCTGTACCTTCGTTGATGAAGTGGTATCAAATTAGACTCGATATTGCGCTTCTCGATCACATATTCCGTGGTGGAATATAATTGTAATTAAGTAATTCATCTCAAATCCTCCTAATAATTTCTATCATTTGTATATCCTTACTGGATGTTCTAATATCTCGAACAGAGCATGGGTTTAAGACATCCGTATACCGTAAACCGACATTCACCAGACAGTACCTCGATTTCAACTCCCACCATCCATACAGCGTAAAGAAAGGAGTCGTCCGTTGCTTACAACACCGATCAAAAGTCATAAGTAGCGACCCAGAGACGTTAGATAAATAATAGGTCAGTATAAGTAGTACCCAACAACGTAACAACTACCCTGTGTACATGGCAGCAGCCCCTAAAAACTGGGATAGGCGGGTACAAGAGGAGGAGGACAACAACACTCAGAAAACAGTCTGCCTACCTTATGTGAAGGGGTTATCATAGAAAATACAAAGCATCTGCTGTCCATATAACATCATGACAACCTTCAAAAGCTGGACGACACTTCGCAGATATCTCTCCCGAGTAAGACCCCTCCCCATAGAGGAGAACATGACTAAAGACTGTGTGTACGCTATCCCGTGCAGCTGCGGAAAGCAATATAAAGGAGAGACAGGCCGCCCTCCTCAAGGTAAGGCTTCAAGGACACCAGAAAGCTGTAACACGAGGGGAAGTAGAAAATCAGGCGTGGCTGACCACATATGGAGAGAAAAGTGGTATCACCGCCCTCTTGTGGAATCAGGTTGAGATCATAGACAAGGAACACCACTGGAAAATTCGTAAACTTAAGGAATCAGCACTCATTCTAGGCCACAAAAATCTCCTGAGCCGACCAAGCATAGAAATAAATACAATATGGGAACCAGTAATAATGAGTGCCACAGAAAAGCAATGATAACAACAAAGTTGCAATATGAGCTTTGGTAAAAACATGCAATGATAACAGCAAAATTGCAATATGAGTACTGGTAAAAATGGTTGCTGAAGACATTAAGTTTATAATACCCAGAAATAAATATCCAGATGTCCTCATGGACACATGACACAGTGGATAAAGGCGTTGGTTAGATCCAATGACAGGACGGGACCCAAAGAATGTGAGTTCAATAGCCGGTTAAGACAGTGGAGAACATTCAGAGGGAAATTAACAGGAGATAACTGATAATTGATATCCATTAAAAATGGCACTTGGAACTAGAACAGTCTACCCGAGTGAGCGAAATAAATGGTTCAGTTCGAAATCCCAACCACCTGAAGAAGGCCGGAGTGTACAACGGCCGAGACGTTGTGATAAATATGCCAACAAAGATGAGGACAATAGTCTGAATAATGTAAATAATGTACATAATACCTCATCTCAGAAATATAGACAAATCCTTACTTGAACCGGCTTCTAATGCTCTGGGAGGAGCAGCTTGGGGAAGGTAGTCGTGGCTCGTGGATAAGGGAAAATTGGATGAGTTCCATTAGTTAGTATGACGTTTGTCTTATGACGTAACGGTCCGAGTTTCAATTCTCGGTATTGTATACGCACCGCTGATGAGTGCCATATATAGAACGAAACGGCCGTCCAGTCGTTTCTGCATTCTGTTGAGGTTTCATCTCGAAACTTAATTATAATTATCCCAAATCCTCCTAATAATTTTTATCATATATATATATATACGGGTATTATTTAAAAAAGAATTGAATAAATAATAAGACTGTAAAATTTTGCATAGGACTTTTTAACACACTTTTCTTTTTTATTTAAAGTGTTGTGGCGGCTAAAAGGAATATGATTAGCACATTTAAAATGGACGGTATGGAGAATTATGAGGTGATACAACAGTGTAATGTTCAAAATGCATCTAGCTGCTCATTGATGGACGAGTGAAAGTCAATAGGAGAGGTTAGTAACAAATGATGGAGAGACATGTCTTGTCTTGGTTGCCAGTCATATTTAGAAGTCGGAACTACTTCACACACGGCAGATTTGACACAGAGCTCGTGCAAGAGTTATTTCCGTCGATTTTCTGACAACCAATTTGGCAATTTATAAAAAACTGTTTAAATATATATATATATATATATATATATATATATATCCAATGCGATTAGATCGAATGTAATATATAAATTCCAGCGTTCACAGCACTAATCCAAAAAAGGGCTCGATACCGATGGTAGAGTGATAATTATTTATTTATTATAATTTTATCATACAGACAAAACCATTTTACTCACTACAAAGATGTAACTTCGTTTCAGTGCATTTCAACTGCACTTCGACGGGTGAAAATCGAAAATGTTTCAATTTATGTATATAAATGCATATATATATATATATATATATATATATATATATATATATATATATATGCATGTTTGATTTCTTCATAATATTTCGAAGTGAAAATTCGTCTTCACTTAGATATAAAATACACTACTGCAATCGACCCGAATAAAAAAAAATAAATTAATAATCTACTGTAAAAAGTTTAAGACACTTAATCTTATTCTCAAAAATAAAAACACACTAGCCAAATTACAACGAACTGACATTATCTATGAGTTCAAATGCCTCTTACGGAACTGTGTTCCACATCAAACCGGACTCATAAATAATTACATTGGTCACACAACTACATGCCTATCCAGACGTTTTAAGTTACACCTATCTGACCATAGCTCCATTAGAACCCATTTGAACACTCACACAAACATACCAGATTCGATTCGAAACCTACTAGTTGAAAACACAAACATAATAACCTCATCCACTTGTAAAAAATGATTAAAAATAATGGAAGCCCTTATAATAAAAAAGAAAAAAGCCAACTCTTAACAATATTAACTACGAACAAGGGTCCAGTGTGCTAACCATGTTTGGAAAATAAAATACCTCTATAACACACTAAAAGCATACATATACGCACCCACTCAATTAAACTGAAAAAAATATTCCGCGGCGCTACATATTACACCATGTACACATCCCAGGACAACAAGGAAACTCCAATACAAGCATGCTAAACATCAACATTAAAAATGTTTATATTTTATATGCTGTTGAGACAAGACAATAAATTTGCGATAACTTTATATTTAGAATTACTGGAGCAAGTTATGTATTGTGAAAATTTATTGAATTAAAAAATACATGAAGAAATGTTTGCGACGAAATAACAACAAAATCGATCAACCGCAGTCGTGATCAAAATCTCACTCCCTAAATTGAGTGGCACTTAGGTCTTGTTTTGGGGGTATTATTAGTAAAACAAAATATAAAAAAGTGGTGATTGTACGCATTGAAATGCTAATGCTATATTTACAAAGAGACAGATTTGTAAAAGTTCATGAAATTCACCTGAAAGAATTAAGTCAATACGAAGTTATTTTGTAGCCAATTTCATTTTTTTCTTTATATAATTCTTATATTATCTCTGTTTATATATATATATATGTTTGATATTTTACATCGAGTGTTGTTCTCATAGCGTCCTTATTTGTTTTATTAAACAATATGCATATATATATATATGTATGTATAGATATACATATATGTACATGCATACACTCAAACACACACATATATATATATATATATATATATATATATATATATATATATATATATATGTATATTGAGTCAGTAATAATATTATTAATGAAGCGGTGTTTTTCTTTTTATAGAGAAAGATTTTTTTCGTTGATTCAACCGAGTATATGAATATAATTAAGAGTGTAATTCTTGTCGAAAACCAATTCAGTAGCAAGCTTAGGGCATTTTCTATTTCAGCTGTGGTTCTTGTATTTCCAACTTTTTTTTTTTTCATACATATTGTACGGCTGCTTTTCGAAAGAATATCCCAAATGGAAATTGTCTCATTCCAAACTAATTCACTTTTAAGCCTTACAGCAATTTTCTCTCTATTACTTTTCTTACTTGACAGTTTTTTTTAACTTCACTTTGTTAATTTCTTATTTTTCTTTGCTAATTTTCCGTGTGTGTTTTTTTCTTCCTTTTCTAAAGAATCTCACTTTTTCTTTCATTATTCCATTTTCTTTTCTTAATTTCCCAATTGGTTTTCAGCTGTTTGGTTTCTCGGACGTACCGTCTGTTTAGATAATATATACCGTCTGTCTGCAAACATCTTTCCCTTCTTTTCCTTCAAACTCTTTCTTTCTTAATAGAAGTGTTTTATTTTTTGCAATTTCGTTTATTCTTTAACGATATATTTATTTTTTTGTCTTTTTCACGTCATTTGTATGCAGTTTCTCTTCGACTCCTTCAATGATCGAAATTTAAGAATTTAAAAATTGTACAGGACTACGACAAAAGTTTTTTTTTTCTTTTTCTTCAGTAATGATAGTGTTAATGATTCTTAATGCTAGATATCAATGAGTGGATACGTTCTTTCTCTTTGTTCAGTATCTTGTGCACAGGAATTTTAATAATATTTTCAAAATGTTATTGCTTGACTTACTCTATAATTTTGTTTATATGGCTTTTTTCTTTTCATATTTTACACAGTTTTTTTTTTTTGCTTTTTTCCTTCCTGACTTTATTCATTTATTTCCATTTCTTTCTTTTTTTTCCTTTCTTTGTTTCTTATTTCTTTTCTTTCATTATTTCTTATTTCTTTTATTTTTTCTTTCTTTCTTTCTTATTTTCTTTGAGAGGTGGGGATACGGTCTTTTAATACTTAAAAAAGAAATTACTCTTTGTCAGTTGGTAAAGTTATTGGGAAGCGTGACAAGAAGAGAATATTGCAGCATCTCTACTGATTTGTGTGTTTGGTTTCCCATTTCGTTTTTTTTTATTTCTTTCTCCATTTCTTTCTCTTTTATTTATTTATTTATTTATCTTTTATTTACTTCTTTCATTTTGTATTTTGGTATTGAGTTACTTGGATTTTCTTTCCTAAATTTTTCTTTTCATTCTTTCTCTCTTCCTTTCATTTTTCTTTCTTTCGTCTCTTTTTTTCTTTCTTTCTTCCTTTTTTCTACTGCTAACATCTTATATTTTGCACTTGAGTTATCTTTATTTGTCTTTCTCTCTTTATTATTCTTTCTTTCTTTCTTTTTTTGCTCGCCCTTTTTTTCTTCTTTTTATCTACTTCTTCATTTTCTATTTTTGTTTCGAGTTACCTTTATTTTACTTTTTTCTTTCTTTTTCTTTTTTCTTTCTTTCGTCTTTCTTATTTCTTCTGTCACTTTCTTCTTTCTTTCTTTCATTGTCTTTCTTTAGTTTATATTTTTGTGTTTTACATGTATTTATTATGATTTTTTTTCTTTCATTCTTTCTTTCTTATTTATATATGTACTTTCTTTCTTTCTGTATTTCTTTCGTTTTTCTTTCGTCTCTTTCTTAATTGTTCTATTTCCCTACTCATTTTTTTTGTTTTAAGTTACCTTTGTCTTCTCCCGTTTCTTTCTTTCTTTCTTTCTTTCTTTCTTTCTTTCTTTCTTTCTTTCTTTTCTTTCTTTCTTTCTTTCCTTACTTTCTTTCTGCTTTTTATGCTTCTTTTAATTCATATTTTCGGTTTGAGTTATTTTATTTTTTTTTTCATTCGTCCTTTCTTCCAATTTTCACTATTTCTATTTTTTTTTTTTTTATTTTGAGTTACATTTGTTTTTATTATCATTTCTTTCTTTCTATCTTTCTTCATTTATTTATTTCTTTCTTTTTTACTGCTTTCATTTTCTATATTTGTTTTATATTATCTTTATTCTTCTTTCATCTTTTTTCCTTTTTCTTTCTTGCTATCTTTCTTTCTTTCCTTCTTTCTTACTCCTTTCATAATCTTCTTCTTTCTTTCTTTCGTTGTCTCTCTTTCTTTCCTTTAATGTTTTTTGTATTTATTTGTTATGTAATTCGCTATTTTATTCATTCTTTCTTTCATTTTTTTATTCATATATTTACATATTTTTCATTTCTTTCTATATTTCCATCTTTAATTTACATTTTTCTTATTCATTTTACATTTGTTTATTCCTTTAATTTGTACTTCATTCTTTTTTTTCTTGCATTTTATTCTCTGTTTTGCCTTTCGATCTTTCATTGAAAACACCTTTCCCAAGATCTAAGAAATCAAGAAAATATCGCTCTATTATGCACGAAGAAAAAACTCGTACATTGAGTCAACAAAAGTAACTTTTTGCAAGGCTTTCTAACCTTTTCCAGCACAAATCTCTCGAAACGATATTCTCGCTAAACAAGCGAATTATTAGACTGCATTCATTTCACTATAAAGTAAAATCTCGCAAAATGCGTGCACAAAGAAAAAAATAGATCCTGATTACCTTCAAGCTATATATGGCGGAAATTTTTATATGGGGAAAAGATGGAAATATTTTGATTTTTTTTTTTTTTCATTTAATCTTGAATTTTGGATTCGTGACTGAATTAGTAGGTCAAACTGAATGTTAGAGTATTGGTCTTGAGGCCAATAATTTTTTTTCCCGTTGCGTTCTGTCTGTTTTAGAAGGATAATTACCAAATGAACACAGTTGAATAAACGAATAAACATTTTTTTTATTTTCAGTTTCAGATTCTTTGAATACATTTTTTTACAAGTCCATTACTTTCACAAATCAATACTTTTTATTGTTGCCAACATAGATTTTCAAGAATTGTAAAGAAACAACTTTTACTTACATATATTAATGAATATATATAAATAGTCCAGTAACAAATAAAAAAAACTACTGAATTATAACAGTAATAGCAATGATTATAGAAATATGATAATATATTATTATATGATAATAGGAATAATATTATAGATATATAATGGAATATTATTAAGAAACATAATATATTATTATATATTATAATATAAATATTATTTTAGTAATATTATTGTAGAAATATAATAAACGAGAATCTCTTTTCAACACGCTAATAGGTGTTAAAATCCTCACAGTATTTAGTATTGTTGAAGTTATCGCTAAAAGTTTTTGGTGAGATTTAAAATATCTGTTTCGTTCATTTTCGCAAGTCAATTGATGAAATATAAAATATATTATGCAAAGAAAAACAATACTGTATTTTTTTTAAATAAGTGCTTGTTATTTTAATAATTAATTTGTTTTTAAAATAGTTAGAGTATATTGTATGTTAAATAATAATTTTTTTTTTTCAAAAAACGTCAATGGAAATTTATTGTCCTAAATTTCGCCCCTCAGTAAAACCAACTGTGTTTGTACCGCTTTACCTCTTTACACTTCTCCCCAGAATTTGCTTTCTGTTGGTTAATGTATGGGTATTTTATAGGGTGTGAAGGACGGCCGGACAGACTAATGGATCTCACAAAATTTTATATATAGATATTTCCTACTGCTTTCTTTATTTTGAGTCACCGTCGTCTTCTCTTTCTTTCTTTTTCTTTCTTTCTTTCTTTTTTATGTTTCTTCCATTTTATATTTTCGTTTTGAGTTACTTTCTTTTTTTCTTTCATTCGTCCATTTTTTCTTTCTTCTATTTTTTACTGCGTCCATTTCCTATTTTTGAGTTACATTTATTTTTATTATTCATTCATTCATTCATTCATTCATTCATTCTTTCTTTCTTTCTTTCGTCTTTATTACACATTTTGTAATCTTCTTTCTTTCTTTCGGTGTCTTTCATTTTTACTTAATATCTTTAATAAATAATTATTGAAATCTCTGAACGATAAATCTGTGAACCGAGTTCGAATTCCACCCGAATTCTGTACATTCACTTTCGCTCATATACTCTTGGGAAAGTGTAAATGAATCATTTCCGCACCGTTAAATTAAATAGAAGAATTTTCCATATTTTCTTGTGCCGTTACTATCTGTCGCATGGTTAGGGCATCGGCGACAAAACCGTTTCCTCCACAAGACATTTCTACTGAGAAGGGTAAGTAGACAATCTAAACTCGAGACCTGTCAAAAGGAGAAATCACCATCTGTTAGAGTCACCAGCTACTTAACACAATAGGTTGGACTGGTCTCCATAGCGACATATGCAAGCAATGCGATGATGACATTGCAACACTGGGCGGGGTGATTGCTAGACTGAGGTCAACAGAAAGGGTGCAATGTTACTTCGATGTTCACATGTTCGTGAGCAAAGCGAGGCTGGAGTGCATCGGCTGGGGTTTGACCCGGGTAGGGATCGATTCCAACAGGTTTACTTGAACAAGACTCGTTGGTATGGATGAATACCTCTCCGGCTTCAACCTAAATATATGGCGGTGGCTGGTTAGTTGCTCAACTGCGCACTCTAAAACCACAAACGGTCATGGGACACATGATGTTGATGAAGAAGATGATGATGATAATGATGCTGATTTCTCACTGAATTGACCAGTAATCTGCTGAGTACTCCATCACACTACTAACTTATTTTATTTTTTGTTGTTGGGGGTGGCTATATATCTCTCCAGTAGTTGATTGCGTGATGAGATGACAGCATTTTAATGAATCCACAATTTTCTTCCCTTCATAGAATAAATGCAGTTTCATTTGAGTCAAGGTAAATAAAAGAAGGTATAAAGTAATGGGCATTGTTGATAACAGTTTGATGGAACAATTCGACGTTGCAACAAAAATGAAGAACAAACGTTGATTCAAAACAAATAATCATTTAATATATTGATTAAATACGTTTACACAATTTTTATTCCAGGGAGAGATTTATTTTTGCACAGTGATACAAGAATGAAAAGAACACCATCTTTTGAAGATGTTACATGTTTATACAAAATCTTTTGTTGAACTCTTTGAATTGATATAGTACTTGTATGAATCAAACCTATTTTTATATCTTTCGAGAGTTAAAGTGTATGTTGTCGTTCATGGCTTTCACAAATCGCCACGAGTATAATTGCCATCTAGAAAAGGGTAGGGCTTAGGTTACGTTAAACCCATAATCCAATATTCCTTTTTCTTTTCTCGAATGGTTACCGGATATATTTTGACTAATGTATCACACACGGCATTAGTTTTCTTTTTTATGGTTTTTGGTTAAATAAATTCTCTCTTCAATAGACATTGGAGTTTTTCGGTATATAACAGTAAGAATACTCGAGACTCTTTTACTCTTCTCATAGTTATTGTGATTTCACTAATTGTCTAACTTTTATGGTTTCAATATGATGTAATGGAATAACTTGTCACCCCCATGAGTGACTACACTATAGGTAGTAACTGCGTATAAGTATCTTCAAGTCAACGAACTACATATACTAGCTGAAATCTTGGGCACCCTGAAATGGTGTAATGGTTAGCAAGCTTGTCTCGTTAGCACGATTACGAATGAGTAGTGAGTTCGTTCCTCACTGGGTGCCCCATACTTTCGGCCTTGTGCCACATCTAAGCTACGCTTAGAAAATAGCTCCTAGCTGAAATCTTTTTCGGCTTGCAGGTCAAACCCTTTGCCTCTGAGCAGAGAGGAACCCAGACGAGGTTCCGCCGAAGGGCAGAGTCTCGTTCGGGGAGTCAGACTGCCCCTGAACCGGTTTAAGCGGGTTCAAAAAGGGAATATTTTTGGCCGAGCCTACGGGCTCGGACAGCCGACGTTAAACTGGCCTTGTGCCACATGAAAACCTCGTGGGAGGGGGGTTGCTAAATACAATAGCTGAAATCTTTTTTTGCTGAACAGTCGAACTGTCTGCCTCTGAGCAGTGAGGAACTCGAACCAGGCTCAGCCGAAGTGCAGAGCTTCGTTTTGGGAGGTAGACTGCTCCTGAACCCGTTTATGTGGATACAAAAAGGGAATATTTTTGGCCGAGCCTACGGTCTCGGAGAACCCACGTTAAACCAGCCTCATGCAACCCTCGTGGGGAGGTAGATAAATATACTAGGTGAAATTTTTTTTCTTCTTGCAGGTCAAACTCTCTGCCTCTGAGCAGAGAGGAACTCGGACGAGGCTCTGCCGAAGGGCAGGGTCTCGTTCGGGGAGATTGACCAACCCAATACCGTTTATGCGGTATTTATGGGGATTTTTTGGTCGAGCGTACAGGCTTGGATAACCCAAGTTAAACCCAGCCTTGTACCATATCTACCCTCGTGGAGGACTAGTAAATACCGAAGGGCAGAGTCTCGTTAGGGGAAGTTGGCCAACCCGATCCCTTTTATGCGGGTTCTACGGGCATTTTTTGGGCTCGGAAGACGCATGTAAAACTCGGCTTTGTGCCACATCTACCCTCGTGGGTGGGGAGCTAGTAAATATCGACTTACTGGAATGTGTTCCAGCTGTACTGTCGAACTCTCTGCCTGCGGGTAGAGAGGAACCCAGACGAGTCTATGTCGAAGGGCAGAATATCGTTCGGAGAGTTAGACCGACCCGATCCCGTTTATGCGATTTCTACGGACAATTTTTGGCCGAGCCTAAGGGCTCGGATGTCCCAAGTAAATCTTAGCCTTGAGACACATCTACCTTCGTGGGGAGGGGCTAGTAAATCAGCCGTGTTCTTTAAGATAATTGACCCATTAACTGCTTAATTTTTTAATGCGCCTTTTTTGGCCCAAAAGAGTTTATTTATTGTTAAGAGTTTATTTATTCTTTATGTTTATAAAAAGGCTAATAATAAATCTTTAAAGGCTAAGTGTTGCAAAATATACCTCTGCAATGCAATGTATGTAAGCAATTCAATATAAATACAAGGAATAACATGAAGTGGGTTTAATTTTAACGTCCCCCAAATGGTGCTCATGACAGGTAATGGGTTAATAGAAAGCAATTTTGTTTTATCTAATTATTCGTTTCGACCTTTCACTTTTGGTATCCTAAAAGACAACTGCCCGATTTTTCTTCTGTGTTTATGATGACTTCACCTAGTCATCTGAATATAGCGATCCCATTGAAATTCAAATTACGTATATTGTTTTTAATTCCTATTAATTAAAATACTTTGGAGTGGGGGCACCTCGACGTGGTGTAATGATTATCAAACTTGTTTCTCTAAAATAATTACGACTGAGTAGGGAACTCGATCCTCACTGAGTACCCCATACTTTCGGCTTTGTTTGACATTTAAGCTACGCTTAGAAAATCATCGTTAGAATACTTTTCACTCATCCAATCTGTGTGAAC